CAAAATTTTCAAATTTTTGTAAGAAAGGGAGCAAAAATGTAAAAAAAGTAGTGTGTGTACCAAAACATATTTCATTTTTTCACCTTTCTTTTTGACTGTTGCGGGTTTTTTTCCCGGAATCTCCAGAATCGAAGGGCCTGGCATAGCTAGGCTTGGCCTGTGGGAGCATCCCAGTAACATCATTAAAAACAATACCCGCACTAATAGCCCAGCGGTTTTGATATTTTTGGTACAAATTGATCAAGGCATTGGGGTGAAGGCCAAGTTGGATGTAGCACGAGAAAATTATTAGTGTTAGTTCAGTGAAATAGTTAAGTGCAGTGAAATAGAACAGCTACAAAACAGGAAAAGAATCGTGCTATGTTACACAGCTGTTTTTTTTTTTGCAGGAACCCTGTAATAAAAGGCGCATGATTTCGTGATCTCAACGCTTCCGATATGGATGTACCGTACACAGTGGAGGTGGCACTGATGAAAGTGGCCGAGAAGTTGATTATACTGAATGATCGAGCGGTGGGAATGCTCACACGACTGTACAATATCAAAAAAGCGTGTGGCGACCCGAAATCGAAGCCGCAGTTCTTCAGCGAGAAATCCATGGAAGCTTGCATCAAGCATATTGTGCGCAAATTTCCAACCATCGATACCCGGTCCAATAATGTAACTTTTTGCTTTTAGCTTCCAGTGCAGTCACTTTTCTTCGTTACATTTCATTCATCGGACTTGGGCCGCCGGAGCCCAGCTGTGTAAAATAGAGGTTAGTGAAACACGGGGTCGGTACAACCTGTTGTATTGGATGGCACCCAAAAAATTTGAGACATTCCATTTTTCGCTATCTGAACATGCCAAGATTGTCCGCTGGGGCGGAAACCCTGGCTGGAACGCATCAGCCAGGCCGGTACGGTCATGCGTTCGTGCACTATTTCATGCTGTAGCAAGATTGCAAAAGGACACAGAAGCTAGAATTTCTGACATACCGGCTCTCAAAGTTCAGGAAGTTAATTGTGCAGCTATGTGCCATGTCAGTTGTAGATGTCGGTTTCAGTGACCCGGCAAATGGAAAGTTGTTGATGCGCGAAAAAGACACCACTAGAAGAGTTAAATTTGAAATCTTTTAGTCGCACATGAATAGGAGACATTCCCTTAAAATTCCAGCCTTCCAGCTTTTCTCGTTCCCGAATTAGCAGTTTTTTCGCCGAAATTTTCACGTGCCCGCAAGTGAGTCCCGGGCAGTCCTAAGCGGCTGAATTTTAGTCATGCATGGGTAGAGAACATTCTCCTAAAATTTCAACTTTTTAGCTTTGCTTATTCCCGAGTCAGCAGTTTTCCCGCCAAAACTTTCGCGTGTCCGTACGTGAGACGCAGACGTGTGTGACAGTCGACGTCACTTTCCTACGGTCGCACTTGGCCACGGAACGTACTGGCAGAATTTCGACATCGTCTTGTGTGGTTGGCGAGTAAAAATACCCGGACAGACGAATACAAACATACACACACAGACAGGGTTGTCGCAATATGCGTTTTTGCTGCCTGTTGCAGCGCTCTAGTGCTGTACTG